CAACTGAACCCTTTGAACTGTCAAGTATTCTTTCTGTGTTAATGCTATCAGATATATCAGGATATTTCCACTGAGAGTCTTTCAGTAAGGGATATTTTTGTACCACTCGGAGATCTGATGAATGTTTTCTAAGACCATTTTCTGATTCCTTGCCTAAGCAGAAGGCAGTCTCATTGGAATTTTCAATGTATGTAGGCAAATATTCCAATTCTGCCAACATAGAAGATTTATCCTTTCGAGATGTGGAAAGCATGTTATCAGGGAGTTCAGAAATCTTCACTGTGCTTCTAGTGACAGCACAGGGCTCCAGATAGACTACTGGCATCTTTCCAGTGTCTAATTTGAACATTTTAGCTTTAGCAACACCTGATGGGCTGCTTGGAAGCCATTTAGAAGATAGATGGTCAGCTTCTGGGCTGTCAACTTTATTGTGCCTCTTTAGCTGTTTCTCTAGTATAGGATCATCATCACTGTTTGAGTATACATCTGTCTCTTCATCTGTCTCTTCCTGTTTCACAGTGACCCCTTCTGGGCACTCACCAAGTTCGTAGTCGTAATCATCTAGAGGTTCCTCTTTAATAACAACATTGAAGCTTCCATTCTGGTCTAATGGTGAGGCTACATGGGAGTCATCTTCAAAATTGCTGGCAATAAGACTGGAGAGAGAGGGGAGAAAGGGATTTTAAAAGTACAAAATGATCCATAAACAAGACTCAAAGAGGAAAAAAAAAAAAAAAAGATGTTAGGAATCCAAGTAATACATCAGATTTCCTGAGTTATTCCTCAAAAACACTAAAAAACTCTAAAAATCCACATGATGATTAACAACCCTGTAAAGCAAACACACATCCATCACAACTAAGAATTGCAACAAACAGGAAAGGGCCATCAAACTGCCAGCTGATATTTTCCTGTATGTTTGAGATTAAATTCACATAACATAAAACATAATATTTCAGCTATTTTAGAATATACAATTCACTGGTTTTTAGTATAGTCTTGATGTTGCCAGATGATTTTTCAACTTTAAAATTGAAAAACTCACTTTCAATATAAAGATTTCACCACTAATTCTTCCAAAATAAAAGACAGAGCAGTTGAAGGCAAATACGTATGACCCAGATATATTGTGTATTAATTCATCAAAAAGCAATATAAACATCTAGTTTCTCCCTCCCTCCCAATCAGCCATTAAAAGTCTAAGAACTATATCAATGTATCTTGAGAAATAAAAGAAATAGTAGAAATAAAAAATTGGGTTAAGATTCCACATAACAGGTGTAATGGCTCACGCCTGTAATCCCAACACTTTGGGAGGCCGAGGCAGGCGGATCACAAGGTTAAGAGATTGAGACCATTCTGGCCAACATGGTAAAACCCCGTCTCTACTAAAACTAGAAAAACCAGCTGGGCGTGGCAGCACATGCCAGTAATCCCAGCTACTTGGGAGGCTGAGGCAGAATAATCGCTTGAACCCGGGAAGCAGAGGTTGCAGTGAGCTGAGATCACGCCACTGCACTCCAGCTTGGCGACAGAGCGAGACCCTGCCTCAAAAAAAAAAAAAAAAAAAAGATTCCACATAAAGTAATACGACTGGAATTAGAATTCTCAGCTTCAGAAATCCCAAAACTGCACCTCTCATTTCCCCCCACCAAAATATCCATACAAGTCAACATGTTAGCAGTACAGGAAAGCAGGATGAAAACCGCTTTGAGAAAAACTATACACACCCACTATATATATATTCACTAACAAATAATATGTATGTAACAAGGGACTGTGGGCATTTTTTTTTTAAATAGTTCAAAGTCTATGACTGATAATAGCATTTATAGCCAGGCATGGTGGCACATACCTGTAGTAGCAGCTATTCAGAAGACTGAGGTGCCAGAACTGCTTGTGCCCAGGAGTTCAAGGCTGCAGTGAGCTACAATCACACCCTGAACTAAAGCATGGGCAAGAGCAGGACGCCTCCTCTAAAATAAATAAATAAAAATTTTAAAATTTTAAAAATAAGAAAACAGCATTTACGCAACTAAAATATTTTCCTCTGATCAGTCACTTTTTTTTTCTCTGAGATGGAGTCTTGCTCTGTCACCCAGATTCGAGTCCAGTGGCATGATCTCAACTCACTGCAACCTTCACCTCCAAGGTTCAAACAATTCTCCTGCCTCGGCCTCCTGAGTAGCTGGGATTATAGGCATGCACCACCACGCCCGGCTAATTTTTGTATTTTTAGTAGCAATAGGGTTTTACCATGTTGGCCAGGCTGGTCTCAAACTCATAACCTCATGATCTGTCCACCTTGGCCTCCCAAAGTGCTGGGATTACAGGCGTGAGCCACCACGCCCAGCCTAGTCACTTTTTTAAAAGTTAGGTAGGTAGGTTTCCATTAGTAGTGTGAAATAGCTCAGAGCAGACTGACCCTCCTCCACTTAGAACTAGAAAAGTTACACTAAACAGTTTTTTCCCCCCAGAATATTTCTTAAAATCTATTTGAAGACATCAAAAAGCCAGCAAGGCAGTGATTTGAGGGGCAAAATCACAAGAAAAGGCAATAAAATTAAATACCCCCAATCAAGATATTTTCACATCCATTACTTTTATTACTTAATTTATCTCCCTAAAATATTAAAGTATATTTACATTACTTGCCTGTTCAAAAGCATTTCAAAGGCTTCTGAAACTAAAGAAAAAAGTATAAATATCTGGGATGTTTTTCAAAGCCCAATATAATTTATCTTCAGCCATTTCAGCCTCATCTTAAACAATAACCTGCATTATACTCCATAGGATCCAATCACACGGAAAATATTACATTAGTGTCTCTGTCCAATAAAATACATTTTCAACACCAATCCATCATTAATGAATGAAGCACTATTTTCTTCACTACTTGCTAACCCAATTAAAGTCACTGTCTTTGTAAAACTTTATAAAACTTAAAATAGGTGGCCGGGCGCGGTGGCTCAAGCCTGTAATCCCAGCACTTTGGGAGGCCGAGACGGGCGGATCACGAGGTCAGGAGATCAAGACCATCCTGGCTAACACGGTGAAACCCCATCTCTACTAAAAAATACAAAAAAAAAAAAAACTAGCCGGGCGAGGTGGCGGGCGCCTGTAGTCCCAGCTACTCGGGAGGCTGAGGCAGGAGAATGGCGCAAACCCGGGAGGCGGAGCTTGCAGTGAGCTGAGATCCGGCCACTGCACTCCAGCCTGGGCGACAGAGCCAGACTCCCTCTCAAAAAAAAAAAAAAAAAAAAAAACTTAAAATAGGCACTAGCAATTACTACATGAATGTGTAGTTACTTGTTCCTTGCACAATTTCTACTTAAGATTTTAACCTTACTTCAAAATCCTCCAACAGAAGCCGGGTGTGGTGGCTCACGTCTGTAATTCTAACCCTTTGGGAGGCAGAGGCAGGCAGATTGCCTGAGCTCAGGAGTTTGAGACCACTCTGGGGGCAACATGGTGAAACCCATCTCTACTAAAACAATAGGCTGGATGCAGTGACTCACGCCTATAATCCTAGCACTTTGGGAGGCTGATGCGGGCGGATTAACTGAGGTTGGGTGTTCAAGACCAGCCTGACCAACATGGTAAAACCCCGTCTCTACTAAAAATACAAAAAATTAGCCGGGTGCAGTGGCGCACACCTGTAATCCCAGCTACTCGGGAGGCTGAGGCAGGAAAATCGCTTGAATCTAGGAGGCAGAGGTTGCAGTGAGCTGAGATCACACCACTGCACTCCCGCCTGGGCAACAGAGCGAGACTTGGTCTCCAAAAAAAAAAAAAAAAAAAAGGGCAGGCTTTGTGGTGCACACCTCTAGTCCCAACTACTCAGGAGGCTAAGGCAGGAAAATTGCTTGAACTTGGGAGGCAGAGGTTGCACCACTGCACTTCAGCCTGGGCAACAGAGTGAGACTCCGTCTCAAACTAAAAAAAAAAAAAAAAGAAAAGAAAAGAAAAAGAAAATCCTCCAATGGAAGATTTCCACCTCCAGTTAGAATGTGGAAGATCACAAAAGATCATCACTTTTGCTGAAACAATGAGAAGACACTAAGTAAATTATTTTTCTTACAAGATACTGAAAACATTTGGACATAAATAAGTCTAAATGAAGAGAATTACAGAAAGGGACTAGCCTTCCCTAGGTGACCGGAGATAGCTACTGCTTTCAACCCTAAGCAGCATTTGCACTGCGTGAACATAGAGTAAGGAGAGAAAAAAGCAACTATAGGCAAAGGATCTGCAAAACCACGGAAAAACCGACTTTTAATGCCCGAGCATGGGCAGAATCTCGAGGATCCCAAATAGAAAACTAGTTCTCACTGCTGTCCAATTACCACCCACTCCAGAGGACTTCTGCAGAATAAACAGCGTGCTGCAGAAAGGCTGGCCTGGAAATAAGAGAACATGTAGTCTACCAATGCTTAGGTCCTAAGGTCCTGCCAGGGATAGAAGACCAATCACTCCTCCCTTGACACAGCTGAAACGTGAGGTGAGCTGAAATTTACAGAAATAGGAAGCCACTTGAAATCACCTTGACTAGAAGGACAGAGAAACAAACAAAAAGAAACCGTGTCAGAGATCTCTGGGACAACATGAAATGATCTAACATACTAGTAACCGCCCTTCCAAAAAGACAAGAGAAACAAAGTGAAGAAATACTTGAAAAGAAAATGAACAAAAATCTTCAAAAGCAAAAGATTTTATCCCACAGATCCAAGCTCAGTAAGCAACAATGAGGGACAAACAGAAGGAAAAAAAAAAAAAGTCATTATCTAGGCACATCAAGGTCAGGCTGCTGAAAATGAAAGACGAAGCGAAAAATCCTGAAAGCAGCAGAGGGAAAAACAGACATTACACTGGAGGAACAACAAAAAGAACAACAGACTGACTAGTGACTCACTGGAAAGTCAGAAGACAATATACTTTACCCCACATCACGAAGTGTTGAAAGAAAAACTCCCAATCTAATGTTCTATATCTATCAAAAGAAGCCTTTAAACTTGAAGACATTTTCGGACAGCTGAGATCATTTAGACTGCATAAAAATAACCCCTCAGCTCAGAAATAAGACAAAGATATCGGTTCTTGCCACTTCTACTTACTTGTACTAGAGATTCTATCAGGATGATTAGGCAAGAAAAAGAAATAAAAGGCATCCAGATTGAAGAGGAAAAAGCAAAACTACCTCTACTCACAGGTAACATGATCTTGTATATGGAAAATACTAAAGAATTCACTAAAGAACTATTAGAACTAATCAGTTTACCAAGATTCCAGGATCCAAGGCACACACACACACAAATAGTTTTTCTACAAACTAGCAATGAATATCAAAAGTGAAATGAGAAAATAATTCCATTTTACAATAGCATCAACAAGAAGAAAATAGGAATAAATTTAATAAAAGAAGTTCAAGACTTATACATAGAAAACTATAAGGCCGGGCACGGTGGCTCAAGCCTGTAATCCCAGCACTTTGGGAGGCCGAGACGGGCGGATCACGAGGTCGGGAGATCGAGACCATCCTGGTTAACACGGTGAAACCCCATCTCTACTAAAAAATACAAAAAACTAGCCTGGCGAGGTGGCGGGCGCCTGTAGTCCCAGCTACTCAGGAGGCTGAGGCAGGAGAATGGCGTGAACCCGGGAGGCGGAGCTTGCAGTGAGCTGAGATCCGGCCACTGCACTCCAGCCTGGGTGACAGCGCGAGACTCCGTCTCAAAAAAAAAAAAGAAAAGAAAAAAAGAAAACTATAAAACATTGTTGAAACAAAGACCAAAATAAATAGAAAAATATCCCACGTTTATGGGAAAAAAATATTTCATATGGGTAAAACAGCAATAATCCCTAAAGTGATCTACAAATTCAATGCAATATCTACCAAAATCCTATCTGTGACTTTTTTTTTTTAAAGCGACAAACAAACTGACCCTAAAATTCACATGAAAATGCAAGGGATCCACCAAAAAAACCAAAGCAGTCTTGAAAATTAGAAACAAAGTTCTCAGAGGACTCACACTCCCAGGTTTCAGCTTATTACAAAGCTACAGTAATTAAGACAGTGTGTCTATTGGTTTGGTTGGGTTTTGAGACAAGGTCCTACTCTGCTGCCCAGGCTAGAGTGCAATGGCGCTGTCATACGTCACTGCAACCTCAAATTCCTGGAAACAAGTGATCCTCCTACTTTAGCCTCTCGAGTAGCTGGGACTACAGACACATACCACTGCACCACTCAGCTATTATTTTTATTTTTTTGTAGAGACAGGTTCTCTTTAGTAGAGACGGGGTTTCACCATGTTGGCCAGACTGGTCTCAAACTCCTGTGCTCAAGCTATCCTCCTGCCTTGGCCTCCCAAAGTGCTGAGATTATAAGCATGATCCACCGTGCCCAGTCAGCAGTGTGATACTGACATAAGACTAGATACACAGATCAACTAACGGAATTGCAAGTCCAGAAACAAATGCCCACATTTATGTCAACTGATTCAATTGCCAAGGTGCCAAGACAATTCAACAGAGGAAAAAATGGTCTTTTCAACACAAAAAAACTGTGTTCACGCAAAGACTTGTACACAAATGTTCACAGCAACATTATTCATAACAGCCAAAAACTGAAAACCTTACTGTCCAACTGATGAATAAATAAAATGTGGCAATGTCCACACAATAAAATATTATTTGACAATAAAAAGAAACAAAGTACAGATACATGCTACACATGGATGAATCTTAAAAACATCAAGTTTAAGTAAAACAAGTTAGGCACGAAAGACCACATATTAAATGATACCATTTATATAAAATATCCAAAATACGCAAATCTACAGAGACAGACAGGTGGTTGTGTTGGATTGGGTGGAGCTTGAGAGTAGCTGAGGGAAAATGGGAAGTTACTTTAATGAGTTTTCTTCCTGGGGTGCTGAGAATGTCCTAAAACTGACTGCAGCACTGAAGTAATGGTTGCACAATCCTGTGAATATATTAAAAACCACTGAACTCGACACTTTCAGTTGGTCGGTGAATTTTATGTAGATTTTATTGTACGTGAATTATATCTCAATTTTTTAAAAGTTTTTAAAAAATAACTCTTAAAGGAAGTTCTTCAGACTGTTAGAAAATGAAACAATATGGGCCAGGTGTGGTGACTGAGGCTGAGGTGGATGGATCACTTGAGGCCAGGAGTTCAAGACCAGCCTGGCCAACATGGCAAAACCCTGTCTCTACTAAAAATACAAAAATTAGTCAGGCGTGGTGGTGCACACCTGTAGTCCCAGCTACTCGGGAGGCTAAGGCAGGAGAATCACCTGAACCTGGTAGGCAGAGGTTGCAGTGAGCTGAGATAGCACCACAGCACTCCAGCCTAGGGGACAGAGTGAGATCCTATCTCAAAAAAAAAAAAAAGAAAAAAGAAAAGAAAAAAAATGAACCAAAATAAACACAGATCCAGAAACAAATGAAAATAAATAAATAAATAAGTAGATATTAAAGACTCTTTCTTATATTATTTAAACGACTACTGACTGACTTCTTTTTATTTTTAAGGAGAGAGGGAAAGAGGGAGAGGAGAAGGAGAGAGGGAGAGAAGGAGAAAGGGAGAAAGGAAGGGAGGAAAGAGAAGGGAGAAGGGAGGGAAAGAGGTAGGGAGAGGAAGAGGGAGGGAGGGCAAGGGAAGGCAAGAGGGTGAGAGCGAGCCAGAGAGAGGGAGAGGACACACACCGACCACTGACTGTTTAAAGCAAATAAAGTAACAAGGTTTACAAGCTTATATCACATAGAAGGACATCAACTGTAACTGCATTAGCAGTTCGTATTCAAATTATATTCAATAAATTAAGGATGCACATTGTAATTCATATAACCACTGCTATATACTGAATTGTGTCCCCCACCAAATTTGTATGTGGAAGCCCAAACAGGGCTTTACGAGAAAATTAGGGTTAAAAGATGTTTTAAGGATGGGACCCTAATCCAACAGGATGGTGGGCTGATACGAAGAGGAAAAGAGACACCCCCCGCTCCTCCTATATGTGGACATAGCAAGAAAGCAGCTATATATGTAAGCCAAGATGAGACATGAGAAACCAAACCCTGCCAGAACTTTGATCTTGGACTTTCTAGCCTCCAGAACTGTGGGAAAAAAAAAAAAACTTCTGTTGCTTAAGCCAGCCAATCTATGATATTTTGTTACTGCAGCCTGAGTAGACAAATGCAACCACTAAAAAAATTACAAAGAGGTAATGTTTATATAAATGAAATTTGAAAAGCTCAATTCACACAAAAACAGGGAAAGATAAACAGATAAGAGAAGCAGGAAATAGTAAGATGACATGGTTAAAACTCAGCTACATAAGTAATGGCATTAAATGTAAATGAACAAAACAGTCCAATTGTAACAGGGGATAAAGAAACAAGTCCAACTATAAGCTATTTAAAAGAGTTGCAACATAAATTCAAGGAAGAAGAATTAAAATACAAGGAGGGAAAAAGATAAACTATGCAAAAATTTATCAGAAGGAAACCAATATGGCTCAATAACATCAAAGTAGACTTTAAAATAAGGAGTTTCAGGCCAGGCGCAGTAGCTCATGTCTGTAATCTCAGTACTCTGGTAGGACAAGGCAGGTGGATCACTTGAGGTCAGTTCGACCTGGGCAACACGGTGAAACCCCATCTCTACTAAAATACAAAAAATTAGCTGGGCATGGTAGTGCCTGCCTGTAATCCCAGCTACTTGGGAAGCTGAGGCAGGAGAATCACTTGAACCCAGGAGGCCGATGTTGCAGTGAGCCGAGATCGCGCCATTGCACTCCAGCCTCAGCAACAGAGCGAGACTCCATCTCAAAACAAAATAAAAATAAAATAAATAAGGAGTTTTATCAGAGACAAAGAGGCACATAATTAAAACTTTATGAGCTCAATTCACCAAGAAAACATTAACAACCCAGAAGTGTATGTACCTAAATCATATAGCTTCAAAATATTTGAAGCAAAAATCTATAGTACCAAAAAGAGAAACAGACAAATCCACAACTATAGTAGGAGATTTTAACCCATCTTTCTCAGTAACTGACATTAAAAAAACCAGGAAGCAGAAGAACTGAATAATACTATCAATCAAACTTACTTGATAAGCCTTTATAGATCATTATATCCAACAACTGTACAATACACACATCCTTTTCAAGTATACATGAAGTATCAATTAGAAACAGATCACATGCTAGACAATAAAGCAAACCTTTGATAAATATCCAAAGATTGTAAGCCATATATTCTTTGACAACAATGGAATCAAACTACAAATCAATAACAAACATCAACTCAACATTTCAAATGTGTAGAATGTGCCTAAAGTAGTGCTCAAGAGTCAAATGTATAGTTTAAAATATATACAAATGAAAAAGTCTTAAATAAATTATCTAAGACAGGAGTTGATAAATTTTTTCTGTAAAGGGCTAAACAGTAAAAATTTTAGGCTTTGCAGTCCATACAGTCTCTGCTCCAACTACTCAACTCTGCCATCTTAGCACAAAAAACGCTACAGACAATACATAAACAAATGAGCATGACTGTCTTCCAAAAAATAGGACACTGAAATTTGAACTGTAATTTTCAATCACAAACAACTGTTCTTTTGTTTTTTTCCCCCAACTACTGAAAAGTGTAAAAATCATTCTTAGCTTACAAGCCAAGTAAAAACCAGTGGTAGGCACATATGATCCATGGGTCTTAGTCCACCAAACCCTAATCTAAGGAAAATTAAAGCAAAAACAAGTAAAGGAATTAATGATGAGAGAAAAATCAACGAAATAGAAGAAAACAAAGAACTTGAAGTCATGATTTGAAACCTGCCAACAAGAAAACTCTGTGGCTTCACTGATAAATTCTATCAAATACATAATGAAAAAAAAAAAACAATCTTGCACAAACTCAGCACATACAGAGAACAGAACACTTTGCAACATGTTTTATGAGGTAACCATGACCCTACTGCTAACATATCAGAAATAAAACTATAAACAAATATCCCACATGAATTTGGTACAAAAATCCTCAATAAAATATTAGCAAATTGAAACCAGT